AAAGGAGATTAGTGGTGCCAGGAGCTGAGGGAGGGAGGGGATGGGAAGTGACTGCTTAATGGATGCAGGCTTTCCTTTCAGGGTGATGATGAACTGGTTCAGTTGGTTAGAGTGTCCTCCCCATATGCAAAGGATAAGGATTCAATCCCTGATCAGGGAACATGAAAAAAATCAGCCAATGAATGCATAAATAAGTAGAACAACAAATTGATATTTCTCTTTCTCTTCATCCCCCACCCCCACCCCACCTTCCTTTCTCTCTACAAATCAATTAAAAAGAAAAACAAATGTTCTGGAACAAGTTGGAGGTGGTAGTTGCACAACATCTTAAATTTACTAAATATCTCTGGATTGTACACCTTTTAATGGTTAAAATGGTAAATTTTATGTTGTGTGGATTGTATATAAATATCCTGAGATGTGATGAGTGCTATGAAGAAAATTGGGCAGGGTGTTCTAAAAGAGAGATCTGGATGGAGCTCATTGAGGGTGAGTGGTCAGTGAAGAATTCAACATTTAACTGAGAAATGAATGATGGATGGAACCAGCCCCTTGAGAGTTTGGGAAAAGAGCAGAGGAACACAAATGTGTGGAAATTAGGTTGGACAATGGGCAGAGGGCAGCGAAAGTCATTTGTATTTTCTCTGAGTGCAAGGGAAGCCACTTAGGAAGGGAGGAGCATGAGCTAATCAGTGTATTAAAAGGACACTTGCACCCTGCATGGTGTGGTTCAGTGGACTGAGTGCCAGCCTGTGAACCAAAAGGTCACCGGTTCTATTCCCAGTCTGGGTTGTGGCCCAGGGCCCCAGTGGGAGGCTTTGCAAGAGGCAACTGATTGATGTACCTCTCGCACATCAATCTTTCTCTCCCTCTCTTTCTCCCTCCCTTCCTCTCTTTAAAAAAATAAAAATAAATTCTTTTTATTTTTAAAAGAAAAAGGGCACTTGGCTGCTGTGTGGAGAAAGGTTTGTAGGGGTGTGAACAGAGTTGCATTAGGAATGTCTGCAGGCAAGTACAGTCAGGACCTCCATGCTAGGAAAGGGAACACACTGAGGCTAGGAGGGTCTAGAGGCACAGGCAGGGTTGCCATGGTTACTGAATGGTTCCAAGGAAACAGAGAGAAGGCAGATGCACTAGAAGAACTGTGTCCCACAGCTTCCTTAGGGCATGAACCAGGCCATGTGAGACACCTAAGCTTGGGCAGACATGGAGGAGTAGCTTAATGCTTTGACACAGAGAGGATGCTAAGTAGGGTAACTCAGGCCCAGGGCAAGGCTGCTTCTGGGAGTTGCACAGGCTAAGCTGGCAGTAAGAGGGGGTCCTAGGAGGTGGGAGCCACCTCTTGACCCAGCCTGTAAGGGATGTAGGCAGTGAAGCTGGAACCCAGCTGGACTTGGAGTACTCCGTAGGCTGGAGTGAGGGGCAGCCAGGGGCTGGCACAGGAGGCAGAGATTCTAACACAGCGCTGGCTATGTGAGCAAGAAATGCAAAGGACCAGAAGTCAGCTCCCTGCGTGTGTAGGCTTGGTTCACAGTATGGCTGTGGTCAGCCCCATTAATGGAGATAGTAAGGAGAAGGGCAGGGAAGGATGTCTGGTTCCCAGGCAAAAGATGTCCAGACAGATAAGGAGGTGGTCACAGAGGAATGATTTAACACTAACAGAAACTGCCAATCATGGAAGAAGTTACAGGCCCAGGTGGGGAAGTTTTCTGGGTCATGACAGCAGTTTGAACACATGTGCCCTGAGTCCTGTGTCCCAGGCAACATCCAGCTCCAGCCTCAAGAAACTGTGATAACTGAGCAAGTACAGAAGGGGTCAGAGGTTGTGAACACTGCAACTCCTGATATGGGGTGTGGGTTCTTGTGCTGGTGAAAGGCCACTAGGAGAGAAAGAGGTTACAAAGGTCATAATAATGTTGACGTGAGGGGTCTTCACTTAAATCTAGTAGGAACATAATGTTACATGCCTTCCCATAGTGTCAGCCTAAGAGCACCAATTCCTGTTGCACATCAAATGTTGTCAGAAATAAAACAGAATAACAGACTGGACGGCAGATGAGAAAACAACCTAAGCTGAAGATGTAGATCTTTACAGCAGGGCAGGATCGAAAGATTCTCACCAAAATATAAAGTGAAAACAGAAAAAGAAAAAGACATGCCAGCATCATCAAGGGAGTGATAATGTGTCAACCATTAACTGTCATCTTTCACCCAGTTTATGTCTGTGTGTGGCCCCCAAATGTGTGTTCTGGTATCAATAAAATCCCCGAGGTTCTGTAAACTGGAATAATCCATATCACCAGTGTTTACTCCTACTCTGTCCAGGAACAACAGGAGAGCAGAGTATACCTTTGCAGCAACAGGTATAACTTGCCCTGTCCTGCCTTCTAGCACCTGAGCCCTAGACACAGTGAGGGAAGACCTGCCAGAAGAGAGAGAGGGGGATGAAGGTCTTAGGGGACAAGCAGGATGGGCGTAATGGGTAAGAGGAGGCAAAGCATTATTCCAGGTTTCAGAACTAAGTTGTGCTCAGGGACCCCAAGGGTCTGGCACACAGCTGAACAGGGCAGGCACAGCAGGTGCTTCCTTCAGGACTAACTTAGTGCAGAAGGGACACAACTGGGAAGGGAATGCCTAGGAAGGTGAGGAAAAGGAAATATCCAGCCAATGGAGCTTGTCCCCACACACTGCTGCCCTGAGCCACTGCGTGGCTACTCTGCACCAAGCCTCCCTCGGGGCACTCCAGGGGGCCGGGATTTGCCAAAGCTCTGGCCAGTTAACCAATATCACACTTAGTAATGCTAGATAAGGGAATGAACAAGGAACTGAATGAAGAAATGAATGAGTGCACAGATATCTGTTGAGCTTAAGTCATAATTGAAAAGTGAATGGATAGAAAAACATCAGTCACTGGACCCAAGGTCAAAGTCATGGGATGTGCATCCCAACTCAATTTCATAGGATCTAGATGACTATGGATGGGATGTGTCACCTCTGTGAGCTATGGCCTCATCTAGAAACGGAGTCACAGGCCTATGGGAGCATTCAGTGGGGCAAGTACTTGGTAAATGTGAAGTTCACTGACACGGTGGAGGGTCGTTGAAACCTTGCATCACCAACGTCATGGCCAGAGGACAGAAAGCAGGCACTGTGTGTACATCCTGGACCCAGCTGCAACAAGCTCTTCAGCCTTTGGGGCACAGCCAGCCCCCAAGAGCTTCCTCTTATCTGCTCAGACAGTTCACAGACAGGACTGAGGTAAAGAGTTGCGATCTGAACAGGATCCTGACCTGGAATGCACACATTCCTCAGTGTGTTTCCTCCCGGTTTTTTTTTTTCCCATTCTTTATAAATCAGAAAATTAATTACCCGGAAAAGAGTTGTCTGCACCAGAAACCCAAATGAGTTTAACGTATAATTTATACATGAAAATGTAGATGTCAATGTGTGACAAATCGCCGTAAAAATATTTTTGCAGTTAAATTTTCAGGCATCTGTCTTCCTCCCAAAACAGCCACTGTACAGACGATGTGAGGCCCTAGGGCTCAGGCTGGGTGGGGCTGGCGAGGCAGCCCGTCCTCTTCACCAGCTAGTGATGCAGCCGCCTGTGCCACCCGGCCCAGAAGGCCCCAGACTTAGCACCAGCCAAGCACAGCCAAGTCCTTGCACTGTCCCCTTGGGGTCCTGCTGTGTCTCATTTGAAATGAGGATTTAGCACTCTGTGCCAGCTCTTTGCTAGACCCAGGGAGGGAAGACATGATGGAGTAATGTCTCATAGTCCAGGGGTTTTGAGTCCCCTTGAGGAGCCAGGCAAGTAAATGACAAATGACAATGACAATGTGGCAAGCGCTAGGGCCGGGGTGGGTCCCTCATGCCAAGCAGCTGCTGCAGAGGAGTAACGCTTCACTGTGCCAGGAGCATCTCCCAAAGACTCCAGGGGAGGGGACTAGTCCTGAAGGAGTTTGTCAGGAGGATGAAGGCAGGGGGACATTCCAACAGGAAGAACTACTTGTGCCAAGACAAAGGCTAGAGTGAGCATGTCCAGAGGGGTGCGAGTGTGGCCTGGGGCACATGGCAAGGACTGTCCAGCAGTGAGCCTGGAGCGGAGAGCAGGAGCTAAGTGCCCAAGGAGTCAGCATGCCCAGGACAGAAACAGGACCTTGTTCCCAATTGAAAATGTTAATCCAAGCAAGTCTACACACTCTGGAGAACAGATGGAGGCCACAAGAAAGCTTGTGGAGAGTGAACAAGAGAGAAGGAGAATGGGTTCTGCAAACTCTGAAGCTCAGTGCCCATGTAGAGGACCACCCCGGCAGGACCCTGAGTCCTGTCCCAAGTCTCAGCAGCCTGCCTGCTTCAGGGGGCCTTCATTCACAGGCACACCAGTCCCTTGGCTTCACTGATACATGACAGTAGGTAAACCACCTGAAATGTAGGTTGGGCCCTTGCTTCTTGTCAGTGGTTGCTACTGCCAGTTGAGGCTTGTTACTCATTCTGCAGGACATTACCCAACACCCCCTCTCCAGATGCCTATTGGAGTGCCCTCTCACATGAGGACAGGGAGGGGGGGAACAGTGCCCAGTGTTGGCTCTAGCTGAGATCCAATGTGCCACCCACACACGGGAAGGAGCAGCTGCACATCTTGGTTGTATCTGGCCTCTATCCCAGAACAACTGAGGAGGGTCAAGAATATGCTTCTTCTTCACCAGGCAATCACCAACTTTGTCAAAGACAATCTGAGATCCCAATGGTGCCCTCGCAGAACTTGAGCTTCCCACAAAACAAAGCCAGTCCCCATTCCGCAACACCAACATGGTCCCTGGGTAGCCCCTTTGGAGCCCTACAGACCTGGTCAAAAAGTAAAGATCCGTACTAATGGAACCAGGCGCTCACAGAATAAGGGTTTCAAGCTCCAACCCCGCACCACACCAGTGCCCATTTTAAAGAAGAGTCTAGTGTGGCATCAATAATCAGCCCCTCGGTAACAGCGTAGCACATACCTCGTTTGATCTTCGGAGGCCTGAGACCCTCTGCCTGGGCCAGGGCCTCCCAAGCCTCATGCTCCCGCCAGCGCCTCAGCTGCTCCTCTCGCATTTTGTAGAAGAGGATGTGCTTCTGCACATCACTGAGCTCGGCTAGGAGCTCAGGGTCGATGTACATGTCATGCAGGATCTGCTGCAGCATGATGCCACCTGGATGCACACACCAGAAGGGCAGCCAGACAGGAAAACCCAGACAGGCTACTGCTCACCCCGGCTTTTCACTCCAAGGCCACTCCAAGAGTCCCTTCTCTGTGCAGCATCATCACCCTGCCTCAGCTCCCAGCAAGTGACAAACTCATCTCCTCTGCCCAGGGCAGCAACAGGGGCTAGGTAGCAGGAAGCCAAGAGGCAGCTGCGACCCCACAAGGGGAGGCAGGCACCAGAAAAAATCTAGTTCTTCTGTTGGGTCACCAAGCACTGTGTCCCAGCATCGCCTGTATCTTGGCTTCCCTCGGGGTTCAGGGACAATGGAGAGGGTCAAAACCTCCAGCTCCACAGGACAATGCGCAGGCACAGCCCTGCCTGGGCCACAGGTGTCAAGTGATCTGTTAGTGGAAGGTAACAATGACACCGGCTGTATCAATGACACTGCCCCAGCCAGCCAGGAACTGATCTCTCTCCCCTACAGGTAAGAGGAGGAGGAGGAGGCAGCTCTGCCTACTAATTCCATGTCTTTTGAACCAATTTCAAACAGGAGAGAGCAGCCAGCCAGCAGCTTCTAGGCTCCTCAGACGTTTCCTCCACCTGTTCCACTTTTCCAATCTTCTTCTCCAGACATTTGGCATTGAGGTAATGCTTTTAACTCTGCTGTAGGGGAGGAAAGGGCTTCCTTCTGAGTTATAGCCAAGAAAGAACAAAATGGAATCAGGAGGGACAACTGTAGGGCCTTCATCATGGAATTCAAGGACACAAAGGAGGCAGACATCCTCTCCCCTTTCCCTATAATAAGGTTCTAAAGCTATGCATGTGTTGACAGATTAACCATCAATTTTAGGTGCTGTCATTGATCATTTTGTTGTTTGTTGCAGGTGTCTGAAAATGACCAAAAAGAATGAAACCACATCTTTTCTGTGCCCAGAGTCTGAAGCACCCCGGACAGGGCAGGATGGGAGCTGCAGCTGCTGAGGCCAAAAGCCCGGCCTAAAAGGTACTCAGGGCTCCTCACAGCTCCCCTTGTATTCAGATAAAGAAATTGCAGTTCAGAGACCTAAGTGACTTGCCTATGCTACCTAAGCAATAAGTTGCCACATTGGGACTCTATTCAATTTTCAAATTTGACATCCACTGGCAAGTATGAATCTTTTGATGGTTTAAAAATGTATCCCAACTGGGAGAAAATAAACAGGGTTTGGCACTGTGGCCTGGTTGCCTTGGTGATCTTCACGTCCTCTTCCTTCCCATGAGGACCGAAGGTGGACCGGGAGCCCAAGGGTGGTGTACTGCAGGTAACAGGAAGAAAAATTAAGGGGTTCAGATGAGCTTCAAGCCCATAGAACCAAAAAAGAAATGTGGAGGGCCAGACTGCCCCTCCCCGAGGTGTAGCTGGCTTGTCCCAGCATGGCTCCTACCGGGCCTTCCACACAGAGGCTCTTGCCACGCAACATTGTGGCCCCGGACTGTGTCCCACCGAGCGGCTTCTGCCTTCGGCGCCCCTCACACTTTACAACGACTACCTCCACTCGGCGCCCTGGCCCTTCGGGGTTTGTTGTTGTTGTTGTTGTTGTTGTTGTTGTTGCTTTTATAGTTATTCTACGATAAAATCCCAAATCTCCCCCCTCCCCTTGACCCCCTAAGGCTCTTAGACCCACAACCTTCTCCAGCACCCCTTCGCCTCCCTCTTCTCATTTGTGCCCTAACCATGGCTGGGTGGGAGCCTGAGTCCGGAGAGGACACAGGAAAGCCACTGGCAGCCTCCTTCCTTCTTTCTGGGTCCCCAGTCGTCCACATGAAGAGGAGGGCAGAGAGAGCAGCAGGCAAAAGCAGGGTGCATGTGGGCATGAGGTCCGGCGTCCTAGTGATGGCGTCATGCTCGCGGTGGTGACACCGTTCGGAGAGGGTGGGCAGTGGCCAGACGCTAACGACCTCCGCTAGCACCCTGTTCTGTGCCGCAGGGAGGCGGGGTTGCTATCTGGCACTCCCAGGTCAGTGGGGCAGGAGGCCAGGGGCGCGGCTAGATCCGGTTTCCGGAAAGACGCGTTCGAGCGGCTTGGCGCCGCGCTTCTCCCGCCTGGGGCCCGCCCTGCCGCCGCTCCGCCCGCCCTCGCGGAGTGAGACGCTCGGACCTTGGGCGCCCCCTGGCGCCCTCGAGAAGAGGGACAGCCGGCCTCCGTGTAGAGCTTGGCTGAGCTTGCCGGGGCGCACTGGGACCTCAGAGGAGGGGGACCTCTCTCCAGCCCTGCGAGGGGGACACAGCCGCTGTTAATGGCTCGGACCCCAGTGGCAGGGGCCGCGCACGAAAGGAGACTGCGGCGGTTCCGTCGGAGGAGTACCTGACGACTAAAAATGAGGCCGTGGGCCCTGGGGTATTCAGACATGGGTTTCTGTCGCCTTTCGCCTGGTTTTATTTTGTTTTCATTTTTCATTGGCCGATGCGATGTGTTTAATTTTGCACGCTAATGAGTTTCTTCTGGGGCAGGGGTGTTCACACGCATTGTTTTTGCAAGTCACTGGGAACCACCCGAATGTCCCCTCTGTGGGGTAGAGAGCCGCCCCGGTATGGCTCCCTGTCACAAAGGGTTACGATAGGTCTGCTTTGGCAAGGAAAAACGTCCAGGGCAAATAAAAGTGAAACGACAATGTGCAGAATGTTGTGGACAGTGTAATCCATTTTTTAAATTCTGTGTTTATTTTGAGCAAAGGAAAAAATATGGAAGAACACGTCGTTTTCTGCTTTCTTCTGGGAAGGGGGAAGAGAGTTCGTGTTGATTTCTGCAATGAGTAAGATACGTAATTCATATGACTGAAATAAAATGTATTACAAAAGTCCTTTAAATATGTGACTCCAAAAAATTGGCCTCTGGAAGTCGGTGCTGGTGGTGCAGGCACAGCCTTGTGCACACCAGCACCTAGTCCCAGAGAGGGACGGGCAGGCAAAGCCAGGCCTCCCTAGCCAGGGAGGCTACTGTTGGAATGGATAAGCCGTTGGCATCACCAGAGGTTCCGAGTCCGGAGAAGGGCTTGGAGACATTTCTCAGACAGCTCTGGTGCTGGCTTGGGGAGGAGACTGAAAGAACCCCGGAGGCAGGAAGAATAGTCCCCAAACTTTGGCCAAGGAAGTACTGTGCAGGAGTTGCCAGTGGGAATCAAGGAAGGCAGAATTGGGAGACATTACTCATCCCAGAGCCTTCCACCAGGTGTCTCTGCTTCCACCTCAAATCCTTTTAAAACTTAGATCATGTCATTTTCTGCTAAAAACCTTGCAATGGCTCCCATTTTATTCAGAGTCAAAGCCCAAGTCCTTCCAGGGCCTGCGATCTGCTTCACTCCCCAACTTCCTCAGTTAACCGCCTCCCCCCACCCCCCAACTCTCCCTCCATCACTGGCTCACCCTGCTGGTCTCCTTGACTATCAGCAGACACACCAGGCACCCTCCCTCCCCAGAGCCTTACACTGGCTGTTCCCTCTGCCTGGAACCCACGTGACTCAATCACCTCCTTCAAGTCACATTTTAGATCCTCTATACTCTTGATCCTCCTTATTCTGCTCAATTTTTTCCCTTATCACTTTACTTTGTAAAATATCATTTTAGTTCTTTGTGTTTTTGTCTCTCTCCTTAGTAGATACCAAGCAACACAGGGCAGGTGCTCCGCTGAGACCCTCAGTGCCTAAAACACTGCTCAGCATGCAGCAGGTGCTAGATAAATACCTTCTGGAAAAGAGTAGGAATTAGGGAACTTCCTAAGGGGACATTGATTAGAGCCTGTGCATACACTGGGGAGGCATCCAGAACAGGATTCTGAAGAAAGGTTGCTGGAGATGTGGACAGGGGAATGATGGGTAGATGAATCTGTGGGGCACTAGGTGGACTGGCCTCAGGTGCCTGCCAGGACTATCCTCTCGTACCCTAACCAACCCCATCATCTCGGCCTTGGAAACGCCTGGGCACAGCCACCACATAAGGATCAACTGCAGGAAGAGTCTCCTTACATTTTTCCCTCCTCCCCTGTGCATAGTCCCTTGGGGAAGCTGCTCTCCTGAGAGCACATTTAGGATCTCATCTGGTCTCAGTTTTGCAATCCAAGGGCTCAGTGAAAGTCTAGCGTAGTTTCTGCCTTGTCACCAGTTAAGCTCTACTGAAAAATTATGGCCGTAAAAATCAATAGTGTCCCTGTATGAGTGCAACGATTACTTAGATAAAACAAGGTGAAAAAGATCCTGTGACAACAGGAACCAAATGGATATGAAATACTGGGAATGAGTTTAATAAACAATGGGGGGACCTATGTGAAAAGTAAATCTTCACTGAGAACATACATATAATTTAAGTGGGTATAAGAGCACAGCATATTCACAGTCAGGAAGGCCTAATGCTGTAAAGTGTTCAATTCGCCTCATTTTTAGCAAACCTCCAAGAGGGCTCTGATGATCCCTGCCTCCCAGTATTCATGACCTTGTGTGGCCCCTCTCATATCAGGGTTGGTCTGTGTGACCAATAGAATATGCGAGAAGTGATGCTCTGTCACCTTTGAGATTATACAATTAAAGATAATTTGGCATCCCCTTTGAGTTGTCTCTCCTCCCTTCACTCACTCTGAGGACCATGTTATGAGACCTACATGGCAAGGAACTGAGGCCTCCTGCCAACAGTCACGTGAGTGAGGTTGGCAGAGGATCTGGTCAAGTGAGGCTGCAGCCCCGGCCAACAGTTTGACTGAAACCTCACAAGGGACTCTGAGACAGAATCAACCAGCAAAGCTGTTGTTATAACCCTCAGAATGTACAAGGTCTGCCTAGAAGGTATCCACCCATGTAATATGAAAAAGAGACATTTATTGAGGAAGACACAAGATACAATATACAAGAAACATTGTACATAGGACAATGATGCCTCAGTCCCCTTCAAAGTAGGCACGTTCGGACTTCACACAGTTCCAGTCACCATCAGCTGCCCCAGCATATTTTTCTGAATCTCAGTGATGGTCT